ACTACCTTAAACTTCCCTCCTAATGGATAAGCTCTAAATGAGAAGATACTAGAAAGAATAAAATCGGGCAGGCATTACATAGGAAATTCTGTAGTTACTTTAGAGTACAAAATAAAACCAGAACAACATTAACTGCCTTAATTAGAAGGTTATGTAATACTGCTGCATCTACTGTGGTTATGTTCAGAAATGAGAAAAAGTATTTTGAGATGAGAAAATTAGTAACAGAACTACAAAACCCTAGTGCTGCAGCACTGAAAAGCAAGTGTTATTTGAAATATACTAATTGCAGATGACATATAACGACATATTTTTCACTTTGGTATCACACTGCCATGTGATTTAATCCCTTTTGCCATCTGGTTTAAACAAATGGCAGTGTTATTCCCAAGAGGAAAAAAATGCTTCCCCTGTGATTCACTTCCACCAAGTATCCCACAGACACTGATGTCTTACGGCAGAGCATGAAACTCGGTGTTCTGTGGTATGGAGAGGAGGCAAATTTGCTGTTATCTGTTGCAGAGTTAAAAGTAGGATCTTCTTGTTCTAATAAATAGATGCGATTTTGAACTTGGGAGATGCTGATGCTCAACTTCATATTCCTGTACCTTACAATTTCATTTTATTCTCATTACAACTTACGTTGAGCACTGAATGGGTTCTGTGCTCACCTATGCAGCCATGGAGCTAAGAGTAGAAGGGATATATTGAATGCAGAAAGGACATTTGGAATTACTTGCATGTTCTTAATTTGGCATCTACTCAATTAAAAAAGAGAAAGAGTTTAAAGTTGCTCAAAATACCACATCTGCTCAGGAGATTCCCTGACAAACTGGGAGCTCCACAGTCATGTGTTCCTTTGCTTTTAAGACTTCCCTCCTTCCCTCTTCTCAAGTGGAAGACAACAGAAAGAATTCACTCACATGTACAGGACAAACAGTGAAAAAATGGCACTATTAAAATATTGCAAAAACTCAAAATGGGCAGAAAAGCATCTTCACATGCCATTCCGTAGGTAGTAAGGCGATGGCCTGCTGTTGGCTACCAAGGATGCTGTGTAAATGGGAGACGTGTAAAGCGTGTGCTCTATGGGGCACAATCACATCCCAGCTCAGAACATGAGTGGGTCAGATGTACTCAGGAAGAGTTCATACAGCAACAACAGTACAGAAATTAACTCGCAACAGTCACATATGCAGAACTGTGATGACTTTTTTTTGTGGGAGCTAGTCATTATTTAACAGGTTCCAGGCGATGAAAGAGATCTTATTCAACAAAGTCCTCAATATGGGATCCCAATAACCACCTCCAGCGCTGGCAGCAGCAGCTATGCTTATTTGGATAAGGCCCTGAGTTATTAAGCTTCGCCCCTTGTCAAAATCCTATGCTGACTTGGAACCAGAGGGGAACAGCTTATACGTTTTCAGATGGCTTTCTAACACTGTAGTGCAAAGCACATTTCACCTCTTTTTTATCACACTTGCATCAGCTTTACATTATATACCTCTTCTGCCTGCGACAAATTCATCTTACCCAAATATAAGAAAAGAGCCAGACCCATATAACACCTACCTCAACCTCCCTGATGCAAACATATGTAGGTACTTTTATACAATATCATTAGGCCATAACTGATGTCATGGTAGCCAAAAAATAACATGTTGTTCTAAACCTCAATTACCAATGGGAAACTAAAACAAATGAATCTGATGTACAGTTTTAAGAACAGGTTCAATAGAGCAATCACCATTAGCACAATCTGCCTTAAGGAATAAGAAGGGCATTTCTTATAAAGACTAAGGAAAAAAAAAATGGAGTTACAGGATACATGTTGTTTCTGGGGTTTTTGCTTTTTCGATTGCAAACTAAGTATTTTACATCTCTAGAAACCACTTCTTTGATGAAAATCACTATAAATGGATTATTTTGCCAAAATCAATCTATCTTTTTTGCTTATATGCATATATGTACAAATTTCTGTCCTTTAAAATAGATTAAAACCACATTGGTCAAATACAGCCCTCTTTTTGCCCCTGGTTTTGCATTTGGACATTTATGGAGATCAAAGGTTTTTGTATGTTCCCCCACTGCAAATGTCTGGGGAAAAAAAACCTCCCACAATCAAGTTTCAGTGCAGTTTTCCAGATCTATCACTTTTCAACTCTATTCCTGTAGCTACAACACCTGAATAAAAAAATGAAAGGCAGTACCAGCGAACAATGCTGTTCACTTCAAAGCTCAAAAGAATTAAAATTGCACTGATTCCTGAAATCAAAGAGGTGAATCCATAGGTAAATCCTTAGGCATCACTTTGGCTAGTTAACCTGACATGTCAATTAAATGCAAGAGTAATTTATTCAATTCTCAGTCTAGTCTGACACAAAACCTATACTTCCCCTGATTCCTAATTAGCCAAAGTACTTGTCTTCTTTCATGCAGATAATTTCATAACCATTAGTGTAAAGCATTAACACATTTTTCTTTCAATCATATTTTCCTCCTGTTGACTGACACACCTTTTCTAGTGAGTGTACTTGTGCCAGTTTCAGCTTTGTGGGAACTTGCCCCAAGGTCTTTAGTGAAGCTCCCTCCCATACACATAAAACAATGATATATAATCATGATGCTAGCTATGTGAAGAGACATATGTCTTACCTTAGAAAATATGAATGGAAAATTATGCACTTGGAGGATTGTAACCTTTTCCATTTGAGTATATTTATGAAGCTAAGTTGCATAGTACTTAACATACGGTAGAATGCAGCAGGATTAACTCCTTGACAACACGTTCAGGTGGTGCTTCTCACTAAATAATTTAAGCTTTTTTTGACAGACTGGGCTTCTTACAGGGTTCCTAATAATTCTAGGAAAATTAATCAAAACCAAAAAATTTCTTTTGTGTACACACAAAACTTACTATATCCAAGATCTGGCCATGTATGTATCTGGTATGTGGCTATTTCCAGTAAACCATACTCAGTATTTGTTTCTTAGTTCTATTTTGACTTACTATTTAAGAATGTTTGTTGAAAGGTGATCATGAGACTTCATACGTACAATTGGTTGAAAAATGCAGGAAAATGTCATGAAACATTCACCCACATTAAAATATTAAAAGTTTCAGGTAACTTTCAAATTCTTTCTAGCCTTTCTCTCATTGCATGTCTGTTGGTTTTCCTTCACAGTGATCGGAACTGACTATATCCTGCAGAGGTGTCAGGAAATGGAGGCACAAGGTCAGAGATCTTCTTAAATTCTGCTAAACTCTCTGGGGGGGAAAGTATGGTGAAAAAAACAACCCAACAAAACAACAAAAAGGAAATCAGCTTCCTTGTATGAGACTTTCGTACTGCTCGGCTTGATTCACATTGCTTAGGAACAAGTGATTTACTTCATTTCCATGTGCAGAGCCATTTGCTGAGGCTTCGGGTGCCATCTGTCTTTCAGGGGGAAGTTTAGCGTTCTTCTCATTCCCCATTCCCCGTACTGTGGCTCCTGATGCATGACAGAAGCAAGTCTGAATCGTGCCGACTCATGCACTGCACGACCAGAGCATAAAATACTTGTCACCCTCCGAATCACAAATGCGACTGTGGAATGTGACGGCACATCTCTCTGTGGGGAGGCTCCCAGCCCTGCCTGCTCTAGCAACGCGCCGGGGGGGCTTCGCAGCACCATCTGCACCATCAGGATGCTGCAAGGATTTGCTGCACTGCTTCACCAAGGGCACCTTGTGACTCAATCAAGGCAGTAACTCAGCCAGAGAGGCTTATAGTATAAGACTCACATTAGCCTCTTGGGCAGGCTTTGTAGCCCGTGCTGGTCCCCAAGCTGCTGGGACTGCACTGGTGCCCTCTTACCAGGGCAAAATAAGGATGTCTACACAAGATGCAGTGATAGCAGCTGAACACAAAGGTGGCGCATTGTGTGTGAAGGGCATCTTTACCTGCAGAAGCTCCACCATCTTATCTTAGAATCAGTGCAATTAAACTGGTACAAGACAGTTTAATTAAACCAGACGCTCTCATGTGGGCTCAATAGAAAGTATCCTGGTTAGCTTGCATCTGAACATTTGCCAGTGCAAGCTAATCCACTTTTGAGAGGTTTAAACCCACGTATGTGTTCCTTTTCAAATTTGCACTAACTTAGCTAACCTATTACTAAAACGACAACTTCAGTCAAACTAGAACAAGTTCCACCAGGCTAATTATTTAGGCATTTTTAGAAATATTAATCTCTTTAACTAATCAGCTTGGTTTGCTGATTGTGGCGATGAGACTAGCCTGCCCTACCTTTGATTATAAAATGCTATTTTGGCAATCCATGTACCAAGGACTACTAAGGCTGTAGTGGATGCCTGCTTAATACATTAGAAGGAGTATTAGGGAGCAAGTTCCTTCATCGAGGACTTTTTTATTTGAACAACTTCAAGATTGGACCTAAGACAATTAACAAACATTGTACCTGTGTATGTTTTCAACTTCTGATCCTGCTGCCCACCAGTCTTTGCTGTGACCTGACCTGCATGCAGCTGATGTGAGGACAGAATTCAACCTGCACCGCCAGCTGCAGAAAAATGGGAGCTCAGGCACTGCTCTAAAAGCTATTCTAACTAGAAATCATCAAGTAATGCACATATGTTCTAAAACAGCCAATGAAATGCACTCAAAACAGCAAGAGTGACTTTAGCTCCCAAAAAAAAAAACCCAAAACCACCCAAGTCAAAAAAGCATTGAGAAAGGATTTGGAGAGAACAACGTTCCAAGTACTGTTATGCAGACACAAAGACACAAACAGGTTTTTTTTTCCAGAAGTTTTCTGTATTTCTCTTCTGTTCATTTTCTCACCTTCCCTCAACAAGCTTGCAAAGTGGGATGCAAGTGTTTTAGCAAAATCTATTGCTTCCACTGCTACCAAGCTGTCTTCATGCCTAGGACTATTCATTCTGAGAGGTGGCAAACTGCCCATACTACTTGTTAATTAAATAAAGTGTTAATTACCATCATTAAAGGCATCCTTGTTGCTTTTGCAGGAAAAAGACATTTGCTGGTAAGGACCAGTGGATTTCCACAGTGCACTGGTTAACATTGGCTGACAAGAAGTGTCCATTTTGAGGTCCACCTGATTTTCAGTAGTCCTTGCTATATCAGAATTTGAGATGTTCAGCTCATACACACCATCTTCATAAACAAGAGAAGAATCTGATCTGTTGACACTGCTTAGAGACACACATACCACAGCTTCATTTAAGTAGAATGTATTTTCGTCATGTAAACCGTCCAATTGATTATGTCCCATTATCTACAGAAGGGGAAAGAAAAATCAGAGAACAGCATTTTCACCTTTGTCCAGCACCAGAATCATAGAACTGCAGAATATCTCAAATTGGAAGGGACCCATAAGGATCCTTGCAGGACTACCTAAAACTAAACTATATGACTATCACCATCGTCCTGAAGAATCCTTATACCAGGATACATAAAATTAACTGCGAGACAGAATGGGGATTCATAGCAAATAGTCACCTGATTTCCCAGAAGTTAACCTCAAAACATGTTAAATTGGATGTGCATTCAGGAATAAACAGCAATAACCTAGTACATTTTGCCTTAGCTCCCCTCAAAACACAGGAAAAGTCAGGAATAATTGTGAAATAGCAAATAACAAAGGGCCGCTACCTGGGATGCACTGAGCTCTGCTGACTCCTTGCAGGGGGTTAATATTTTGCCCCATGGCTCAATGAGGTACCATTTCACATATGTAAATCTGTGTACACTGTGATCCAAAAATAACACTGTACCTCACGTAGACAGGTAATCATAGAGAACAGGACTGCGGCAGTCAAATTGGGAATGGCAAACAGCATTCAGCAAGTGGCCATGGCTCCCAGGGGCTGAAAATGCAACTCCTGCAAAGACTCCCTGCCTGCAGGTGTTTATCAAGGCTGAGCTCACAAAAAAAGCAGCAGTAGCAAACTACTGCAATGTTGGGCCATCCAAAACTAACTAGGTTCAGTGTAATGGCAAAAGCACTGGGCTGGGACTACTGGCTGACTGGCAACCACTCAGCCGGCTCTGCCGCTGCAAGGAGCGTGGTAGTGGAAAATGCAGGACAAAGATGATCCCAAGCCCTGGAATGCATCCAAAGCCATGTAGTTTACTTGAAATAAAGATACAAGTAGTCTCACACATGAAATATTGGATTAAGAACCACTGCTCTTTGACACTTAGCATTTCATTATTTTGCCTCTCTGTCTGTGAGAGCCTGGCCATCCCTGCATCAGGCTATCATCACCCTTCAACTTCCTCTCCTCAAAAGATTTCAGAAGTCCCACCCATTAAAGCAATGGGCAAGTCAAGGTTTTGTTTTATCATCCACTTCTTAAGCACTGCCAAACAGGTCAAAATTGTACCACAAGCTATACTAGTTAAGAAGTGCCTTTGTTGTTTGGGTTGGGCAAGCATATACAGATAAGTCATGTTCACATGGTGTTCACAAAAGCCGGATGAAAAGGGGAGGTCAGAGGCCAATCCTTCACTCCCTCATGCAGGCACAGGCTCAGATGCCGAATGGTCACTGCCTGTTATGGGTCACTTGCCAGCTGAAAAACTAGGGTGATGGCGTGAAGAAAGGCTCTACAGATTTTCTTGTGAAAACGAAAACCTGGGGGAAAAAAAAAGCTGTTCGGGTCAGTGAGCTTTCAAGATATGTAAAAGCCAGACAAAATGTTTTGATTTTCAGGTGGTTTAGAGAGCAGTAACGGAAATCAAGACCAGATCCACCAAGGCAGGGACTACAGGCCAGGTCCCACCTGGCAGGTGAGCACCCAGACAGTTGAGTTCAGAGTCAGCCTCAACAAAAACTTAATCATTTTTAGTATTCAATGCTTAAGCAGGTTCAGAGCTACTTTAAATTGCATCCCCTAATAATGACCATTTCCAGGGAATTACACTGTCAGGGATGGAGCCGCACACCAACCTCTTCCCCTAAGAGGCTGCTTGTTTCAGAGACGCAGTACAGCAGGGCCTGACACATGGGCTTCAGAGAAGCCTGGTGTTTCCCACTCCTGGAGCAGCCACTGTTCCTCACTGGAGCCAGTGCTGTTGTCCAGGAACAAGGACAGCAGCCAAAGACTTCACTAAAAGCCTCTAAAAGCCTCAAGCATTACAATAATTTAGCTTTCCTACAAGAGTCAGGACACACAATGAATCCTGCAAACACAGCAGCAAAGCAGAATAAAACAAACATTCTCACACTTAAAATTTCCAGCTCCTCCATTTAATGCCCATCGACCTGAGTTTGGGTTCTGCAGAGCACCCAGCTTGAAATCACAGAATGGGTGAGATGGGAAAGCACCTCTGGAGGTCACCTGGTCCAACCCCTCTGCTCAAGCAGGGCCACCCAGAGCAAGTTGCCAAGGACCTTGTCCAGATGGCTTTTGAGTATCTCCAAGAATGGAGAGTCAACATCCTCTCTGGGTAACCTGTGCCAGCGCTTGGTCACCCTCACAGTAAAAAAGTGTTTCCTGATGTTCAGAGGGAACCTCATGTGTTTCTGTTTGTGCCCATTGGCTCTGGTCCTGTCACTGGGCACCACTGAAAAGAGCGTGGCTCCACCCTCTTTACATTCTCTATTTAGGTATTTATATACATTAATAAGGATCTCCATGAGCCTTTTCTTCTCCAGGGTGCACAGTCTAAGCCTTTCCTCCTAGAAGAGATGCTCCAGTCCCTCAAACATCTTTGTGGCCCATCACTGGACACCCATCCTCCCCCTCAACCCCCTCTGCCCCCCCCTAATGCAGCCCAGGAGATCATAAGCCTTCTTTGTGGCCTTCATTGTTGGCTTATGTTCAACTTGGTGTCCACCAGGACCCACAGGTCCTTTTCTGCAAAGCTGCTTTCCAGCTGGGTGGGCCCCAGCAGGTATTGATATGAGGGGTTGTTCCTTCCCCCTGGTTTGTACTTCCCCTGGTTAAAATTCGTGAGCTTCAAAGCAAGCCCTTAGATATGCTTGAACTTCAGCTTCCCACATGCTCACTCCTTACATTACCAACCAACAAAACCCAGACGTACCAGTCTATTCGTCAAGAAAAATCTCTCTATCTGCAGTCAGGGATATAATTACAGCAAGGAACTACACACCTCGTATCTCTCTGTGGATGACAACAGGCTACTTTGCAGATCATGCTTCCAGTGCCAGAGGAGCTTCTTCTGCATTTTCACACTGTCTCTTTCTCTCTCCACCATTTTCTGGCCCTCCTGGAGCCTCTCCAGGCTCTGCTGGTACTCCTGTAGCTGCAGCGCCAGTCCCTGTCGGCTCCTCTCCAGCAGCTCCTCCTGGTACCTGCACTCCTTCTCCCACTGCCCCAGCCGGCCCTCCCTCGCCTCCTGCTCCCGCTGCCGCTGCTCGCATTCACGCAGCCACCGCTGCTGCTCTTGCTGAAACTGCTGCTTGAGTTTGTGTATGTTGGCCAGCTCCACCCTTTGTTTTTCCAGATTCCGGTATTTTTCTTGTTCCAGAAGGAGGTTTAGCCGAGAACCGTGGCCCCGACCTGTCTTCTCGTTCTGTTGTAGGAGTAACCTATGGAGCTCTCTGTGGCTGTCCTGGATAGCTAGTGCTGCCTAAACACCACAACAAAATCAGACACAAATGTTTAAATATTAGCATTAATCTATTTCTGTATTTTTACACAGAAGTATTATATAAAAATGCTTCAACCTCCCGTAATATCAGCGCTTAATGCTTTTTGGGAGGTTATTCCTCATGCAAGTAGAGAAAATTCTGTGTTCATGCCTTTACCCATGGATGTTTCCAAAAGCACTCAACCATTTAGAGCACTTTTAACACAGCTTCTGGTTTACACTTAGTATTATTATATATGTTTATATTACAGCTGTGCATATGCACTTCAGTTACAGCTGGGGTCCTGTTCTGTCACAGGATGTTAAGACACATAGGAAAAATGATTTTTCATGGTTAAAGAGGGCACTGAGGCAGTGGGAATGCTACACTCCACAAAGTATTCCTAACACAGATGCGGTTTATACAGACAAAACCATACTGTTTCCAGTACAGTTCACTCCAACCCTAAGGCTTTCCTTGCTAACCTGCAACAGTGCAGTCCTACTAACATCAGTCCTACAGGCACTTGCCAACATAGCCATGTCACCAGGACCATACTGCTACGTGCACCTGACCCAGATATCTGTGCCGGCAGGAATCTGCAGTATAGTAATGATTTTGGTTTTGATGTTTCAATAGTTCATTTTCCAAGCGAGCGCGCTATATTCTGTCCTTCACAAGGATGTTGTGACATTGTTTGCATTAAAGATTGTGACATCCTCCAATAACACAAAAATAAATAGCTGGGATTAAGAAGAAAGAAAAGCAAGAAAGCCCTAGATCTGCTGAGGCACTTATTGCACAGCCTATCTTCAAGAGCTGACATGGGAATCTACTTCAGCAGATATTCCCAGAGAATTCCCAACAGCCCCGTTACCCCATGCCGTCCACCCCAGAAAGAGTTTTTAGTTTTATGCAATGTGCAATTCCCACTTTTCTTGGCTCTTCCTCCAGTATTGAGTCAGTTCCAGTGATGCGTAAACAGGGCAAGGACAAGATCCTCTGCTTGTTGTTTCTCTGCACCTATACTGCCAATTCATGGTCTGAACAATTGCGGCATGATCCCAAGTCTTATTTTACTGCCTCTCTGGTCTTAAGCTATCTGCTTTCCATTTTTAAAAAATTTTGCCTGAATTACAAGCTTTTTATTTTGCCTTTGCATTGCTTCAATCCACTTAACTTCTAAGTCCAAGGTTTCCCAGATTATTACGAAATATGCTTACGTCAAGAGGGTCTAAAAATTAAACATACTCAAATGAAACATTTTATAATAAAACTATAAAACTGCACCTAAATAAGAAAAAATAAGTTAAACCATTCAAACTTAGTATTAAAGAGGCAAAAACTGCAGACTAAGGTCCTACGCATTTTACACATAATTAGTTAAGATTTGAATATCTAAAATCGGTTGAGTTTGCTACCTAAGGGTCAGAAGCACTCTTTACTAATAGCTAGGAGAATATTCTAAACAAAAAACTTAATTTTTTCAATATTTTGAACTGTAATTTCAGAAATCAGTACATGAAATGGCAGTAGTTCAGTTACAGCCATCATTTTACTTTCCCCCTGGATTTTTGGACTGTACACACATTCTAATTCAGGGGGAGACTGAACTCCAAACAAGCATTATTCAGTTCTTAAAAGAAACCTACCACTGCTGTAGAGTAAAAATATATTATATGACAACTTATGCAACAGTCAGTAGAGATAAGTATCCACTGACATAATGTCTAAAAGTAGGGCAAGATGAAAACAAACCTTAAGAAGTAAATTATTAAGACTAATCACTCTACAAAGTTAGCAGTGGAGTATTCACCTGTATGCTGTACAAGAGACGGGTTAAGTTCTGGACTGCTTGTACAATCTGGAAAATAAAAGAGAGATTTTCAAAGGATGACCACTGTTAACTAAATAGTTACTACATTCTGTCTGGGGTTTAAATAAACTCACCTCTGTCCCTGTAGATCCTGGGAAACTCATACTTCCTCCCTAAAATAAACACATGTTGCTTTAAAAAGTAGGTTTTAACTTTAGAATTGTATCATCTAGCTTTCTCATTTTGTTTTTTTTTTAACTAGTGAAGACATTCATATCACTAATATATGCAGTGCTGAGTCAAACCTTTTCGTGGGTATGTGAAAAAAGACAGAAGCAATAACCTACGAAGACTAATAATTCATCAACACTGCAGTTTCCGTGGAAATCACTAGAGATTCTAAGCACAACTGTAAAAACAAAAATATTTCATCCACAATTTTAATCCTCTCATGACTAATGCTACACAGAAAAGACATTTCCATTCATTCTTCGTTTACTTGACAGTTTTGAAATACAGTAACCAGATTTCTGTATACACGGCACAGTGGGTTTAGATTACTTGTAGTAGGATAAAACAGCACAAGACTCTTCAAAAATAGAGATATAAATGCAGCAAGAAGCTATCAGAAGTTACAATAGTGGGTTACAGTGAATGCCTTAGATGTGCTGTGAGCTGCTCAGCAAAGGCTGTGTGCTCGCTGTACTCTGCACGTCGCACCAGGGTAGTTACTATTGTCCATAGCAGTGAGGCTCAGCCACTTCACACTTTCCACTCTGCTCCTTTTTCCTACGAAGCTTTCTAAATTTATGGGGTGAAGCCACCCATGATCCCTTCAGCATGAAGAACAGCTCCTCTGAGAAAGATAAGGTGAAACGGTGGAGAAATAAAACACAATCCATTCTGAGGCTACGCTGAAAAGACTTCCTGTATGATTTTTCTCTTTTTTTTTTTTTTCTTTTTTCTTTTTTTTTCCAGAGAAGCAGAGGAGGGTTTGGGGAATATTTGTGTTCTCTCTGATTCTCCTAAGTTCTCTACTGGGTCTCATTTTCCACCACAGAGAGCAAAGCAGCTGCTCCATTTAGCTGCGATAACCGAAAATAAAGATGAAAAAGGCCAGGCCTCAAAACACAGCTCAACGCAGACAAGCTAGGGGAAAGAGAGCACCAGCTGTGGCATTTCCTCTACTCCTCTCTCTTTCC